TCTCAGAGGCGTTGGGCGTGCAGCTTCACAGCCTGGGTGCTGGAGCCAGGCTGCGGTTCGATTCCTGGCTCTGCCCCTTGCTACCTGCGTGGCTGGTTAATCGTACAAAGCTGGTGAAATGGCTTCACAGCTCATTTCCTCTCCTGTAAAAGGAAGCTGAGCAAAACGACAGCTCACAGAATGGTCACACGTGTTTGTGTGGTATGACACACGTGAGAACAGCGCCTGGCAAAAAAGACGTCAGCAATGACATGCTTATTATTGCTAGCGTGTAGGCAGTTATGTTCCAGTTCACCTCGTCTTTTAGGAAGGTCCTCCCTGAAAAATAAGTTAAACATTATAGAATGTAGTCTGGTGGAATAGACTCTGCTTAATGTCGCTCGATCTCTGGAAGGACACCCACTTATTCATTTAATGACTCAACAGACGATGCCACCCCCTAGCCACCCTGGCCATTTCTAAACAACACAGGACCTGGTGCATAAGTGTGGCTGGTGTCTCCTGCTTGAAGCATGTTGCAGAAATCTTGGAGACAGAGACAAGGACATTCCACATTTCACATCCTCCAAGATGCGATACTGCACCTGGCTTTTAGCAGCCCGGCAGCAGAGTTAACGGGATGCATTTTGAAATAAAAAGTTAGCTGTGACTGATGCCTCCTCGTAGCCAGCTTTGGACTGTGTAATTCCACACACGTCGTTTTGGTGGTCCTCCTAAAACTCTATTCTGTTGGTTGAGGAGTCCTGGGAACATGTGACTCGGGGTGTAGGGAAGGTCATGAGTTGATAGGACACATGCAGCCACCCTGCAGCCTGGGCTGGCTTTCCTCCCCACCAGCCCCTCGAGGCCACCGCCACCCATGGACTGTCCTCTGTACCCAGAAACTGCCAACTCACTTTAAATGGGGCCCAAAGAAGACATAAGATTGGGAAACAATGTTTTTATGAACAACTGATGCAAGTCAAGACTTTCTATGCTCAGATAGAAATCCTGAGGTTGCCTACCCGTTTCTAAGCTTTCATAATTTTCCTTATGTTAACCTCACAATTTATTGGCTGTTTGTTGTGTGAAGGGCTCTTTCTGGTGTGGAAGGCACCCAGTGGGCGCTGCACAGGTGCTGTTCCCGGGGACCCTGATCTGACAGGTGTGTGGCTACCAGGAGATGTACATGAACAAACATAGCGTGAGGTGGAAGACACTGAGAAGGAGTTCCTTAGAAGCATTACACGGGCTGGCCGAGTGGCCAAGTGGTTAACTTGGCGCACTCTGCTTTGGCAGCCTGGGGTTTCGCCGGTTTAGATCCTGGGTGTGGACCTACGCACTGCTCATCAAGCCATACTGTGGCAGCATCCCATATAGCAGAGCTAGAATGGGATATACAAGTATGTCCTGGGGCTTTGGAGAAAAAGAAAAAATAAGAAAAGCGGAAGATTGGCAACAGATATTAGCTCAGGGCCAATCTTCCTCACCAAAAAAGCACACCTTAAAAAAAAAAAAAGAAGCAATACATATTGCAGAAGTTTAGATAAGCTTCCTAAGTCTACTAACAAATATTTTTTAAAAAGTAAGCTAATTATTTGAAAGGAAGGTTCTTTTTAGCAAACTGTGTTATAAGGAAGCATACTTTATTTTATATAAATGACTATCCACATTAAATACATAAACTAATGTCCACATTAGGAAATCATAAACAATTTTTTCTTTTTTAAAAATTACGTATTAATAGTGAAGAAATTAATGGAAAGAAACTGTAAAAAAATTCTGTTTAGGTATTTACAAGGTCGAGAAGAAATTTAAATCCTTCAGGGCAAAATGCTACATAAATTGTATTTAAGTAAAACTTGCTCCTATTAAAACATTTTCTGCAGGCAAGAAGGAAACCTGTGGCTCTCACCCCACACCTCCCCCCGACACATCCCGTCCACTAACATGCCAGGCTGGGATTCCGTCCGTCATCTGTGTAGCAGACCCCATAACTGGTGCTTAAGGAAATACTTAATGATAACCACCCAGGAAAGAAATCCTTCCCAATGCCCTGATCAGGAGGGGAGTTTTCAGTTATTTCACAATTAACAGGATGGGTGCTCTGCCAGAATCCTCCAGTGGAATTTACTTCTAGAGCCAACCACAAATGCAGAAAAAAATCCCTTCGGAAATCCCTGACTTCCAATCCAAAGAAATCTGACACTAACTGTCTCAGCAGAGTTGCTGATGTCTCAGAGGACCATTAAACACAAGATGGGCCAACTCCTCCCCATCTACTTTAAGGCAAAATCATAGTAATGGGTCATTCTGGAGAAAAAAAAGATACAGCTATTAATGTGGAGTTTCTTTAACACCATTTGAAAAAGGAAAGCTCCCCGGCTTAATGTCCTCCTTTCTCCAGTGGAATCTGACCATCTGTTCTGCAAGGTGGTGGGAGAGACGCCGAAGCAGCCAGAGACTTGTAGCGCTCTGGAACCATCCTTCAGAAAGCTGCCCGGTAGCTTCCGTGGAGGAGGGACTTCCCTGAGGCTGGGGCGGCCTCTCTGCATGTGGAATTCAGCATCACCACCGTGCCACCTGACATCGTAGTGACCGATGGCCCTCTCCCACAACATTCCTGTGTCAGGCACCACCTTGGCTGACTGTAGCGTGAGCAGGGACCCCAGACTTGGTCCCTGGGTGCAGAGTCGGTTGTGTCAGGGAGCAGGTGGTAAGAGGCTCCTGTGGATCCATCACCATGCGATTGCGTGGCAGTTCCACGGTCTCAGACCTCTCCCAGCTCCGCCAACCTGCTCTGTAACCCCTGGCAGGGGTGCACAGATTGATGGAAGAGTGTAAAACCAAACCTCTCCTGGAAACATCCCTCAGATGGAGACACAACTTCCTAACTGTCCTGTGTTGGGGAGTAAGAGTGACAGAGTTCTTAAGGACTCTAGAGTCACGATTTTGCAGATAACTGAGTTTTATCCCTTCTTGGGTTGGCTGGAGGAAGAACCAGTCCTGCCTCTCGTGGGCGACCAGGCAGCGTCGACCAGTTGGGCTGCTGACGACTTTAGATTGTGTTTATTTCATCGTGGAGCTGTAGCTCTGCCTAATTGTAGTTACAACAAATTACAGATGTGGCCAGTTCTGCAGGGCTTTCAAAACACAGAGTTCCAAACTTCAGCTTTAAAAACGTGTCCTGTTCCTGGCCCCCCTTCCAGGCTGTGGTGCTTTCCATGAAGAGGACCCTTGGGGCCTCGCTCTGCACATTCTGATGAAAGTCAAGCCAGGGAGAAAACCAGGAAGTCCTGGGACCCTTTTCCAGGCCAAAAAATAAAAATACTACGTTCATTGTCTAAGGTCCCCCATATTGTAGAGAAGTGTTAAAAGAATGAGCCAACTAAGAAAGCCAGTTCTCTGATTCTATTTCAGACACTGAGGCCCACATGTATATTTGGGTAAGCTGCGTAAGTCTGTTTCGGTTTTTATCTAACTTTCCCTTGGATGACTCAGCAGGCTGAGAAAGCACCTCTGAGTCTTGGGAAAGTGCCAGTGAATTTTGCTTATAAAATCTTTGCAGGTTTCCAGTTTGTCATCACATTCCTGTCGCTGTGGGCCGTGCTCATTTCCATGTCACTGGACACAGCACGGCCAGGACGAGGGATGGAGAGTTCTGAGCTCGCGTCCCCGTGGGGCCGGGCACAGCTGAGTAAACAGGCCAGCACCTTCTGTGCCGCGCAGCCTCGTCCGGGACCCACACACCCGAGCTCCGAGTGTCCACTCCCTCGCAGCGTTTCCTGACACTGCGTTTCCATGCGTCCCAGGACAGTGCCTTGCACACAGAGGTGCCAAAAAGTTACTGTTAAAAGTTTCTGGAAAAAAGAAAGAGAGAGAGGAAGCAAGAGGGAGGAGGAGAGAGAGAAGTGAGTGTCTTGAATTCCCAGCTCTAAGAGACTTTTATTTCTGACAATAATGGGAAAGTTTTTTTAGTAACACAGGAGCAGGAAGGGCAGGGCGAGTGGATCTACACACACACACAGTGAACTCGGAGCATTTATAGGGATCAGCTAACAGCATTAAGTATGATAAATAGAAAATCAGAATAAGTTGAGGGAAGGTGGTTAAGTATCATTTTATCTACGCATTGAGAGGTGAACACACCCTACATAGTAACAATGAGCATGAGCTGTATTTGGACTGTTTTTCTTGCCCGCATTCTCTTCCTTGGAGAGCGAGAACACAGCCGGCTCTCCCCTTCCATTCTCTGTAAGACCCTGTCAGGCTAGGGAGTCTCAGTGAAGGTTTCGACAATTTAGCAAAGCTATCTTATTATTTTATAAGTCATCTGCAGCTGCTCATATCTGCCTTCCAAGGACTTCAGGTTTTTGTTTTGTTTTGTTTTGCTTTGGCTTTTCTTTGCTGCATGTGGGCTATATGGAGAATTGTTTCTCTGAGGTTTTTCAGAGACATAATTCCAAGAATACGCAGTTAAACAGATTTCGGAGTTGGAGCCTCTGGGGCCAACCCCAGAAGTGCCCTCAGCACCTTTCTCCAAATATTTGTTGTGACTGAATTTGAGATAATTGACCGGAAAAGACTGCAGGGAAACTGTCCCATGTTAATAAAATTAATGATTGCATAGGCCAGTCATGCGTTCTCACTCAAAGATCATAATTTTACACATACGTCTCATTAGGTTGAACACAGGAAACTGTTGCCATTTGACTGCTTTTGACCCACAAAACCAGCAATCTTGTAGGGTTCAACCCCATGTCTTTAAAGGCCATTGCCTCAATTGGGTTCTCCTTCATAGGCCTCAAAATCAGAGGAGGAACTGTTCAAATACCTAAATAACTGTCTATCCTATTCACCAAACTCTCCAGCCAGCAGGCCAAAGTCCCAACCCCTCTTCCCACCAAATGTGAATCCTATAACCTGAAAGTCATGCAGGGAAGTGTGGTAGGGTCCACGGACAAAAGGACCCTCCTGGAAAATGCACATTCAAACATCCTCTCTCTTTCTCCCACAAACAGGAACAAGAAGAGTGTGGGGAACTGATATGGAAACACCTGACATCCCAGCAAAGGAAGTCGCAGAGGAAGCCTCTGGATTGATAATGAGGAAGGCCCCTAACCCCGCAGCCACTGTGTTTTTCTAGCACGCTCCTGGCACATGGATTATGGACTCCCCCCAGGTGAACAGTGTGGACGCAGACACATCAGGAGAGCTGCTGATGTCAGAACACAGACCAGTACTCTCCAGCTGACCATTCACAAACCTTCATTGCAAACGAGAGCCCCAAAATAGTAAAGCTCCCTGGGGTGGCTGTTTACAAAAAAACGGAGTTAAAAATCAAGGTGCTGACGCGGTGACCGCAGCCTGTCTCAGATTTGTTGGTCCTGGTGGCAGTGATGTGATGGAATGGAAAGTGGTAAACACTGACCCTCGGAGAGAAAGGGCTTGCCCTGTTTGTTAGAGGTGCCCCATAGCTCAGTTCTGCAGAGAGGGAACGACAGACAGCAGCAACTGGGGCTCCCGCACAGACCTGTGCACTGACTAAAGCATCAGCACCCGGTATGAAGACTGAGCCACAGAGATACGGGCACACAGCTAGCCGGTGTTAACGTGACTGCGGTTCAGAAGTTCAGCGGAGAGAGCGTCGAGAGTGCACACCCCTCTTTGCAGCAGGGGGGAGGGGGAAGGGCGAGAGGGAGGGGCAAGTGAGCAAAAAAAAAAAAAAAAAAAGTGTGGACCCAGAAGTGAAATGTGATCGCGCGCCAGGAGAAGCCCAGAGGAACCAGCGACCTTGAGCAGCCCATTCAGGGCGAAGTCATGGTGGGCTGCTGAGCGGGAGGCGGGCGCGGGGCGGCGGCGAGAGGAAGCGCGCCCATGGAGAACCCGGTGGCCCCCTGCGTCCTCTACCCAGGGGACGACCACGGCCGCGGGGCTGAGCCCGGGGACGGCTTTGCGCATGGAGCGTGCGGCCAGCCCGGGGACCGGAGCGGCGCTGCCGAGGCTCCGGGAGAGGGCAGCCTGCAGCCGCCGGACGCGGCCGGGGGGGAGGGCGCCGCGTCCCCGGCGCAGACACCCTGCAGTCTCAGCGCGTCCCTGTGCTTCAGCTCCGGGGACGAGTCCCCGCCGCAGTCTCGCGCCTCCGCGGCGGAGGGCGCAGCGACCTCCCCGCCCTCGTGTCGCAGCGGCCAGCGGGTGGTGGAGACGCAGTGGGAAGTCGGCAGCGCGGGCGCCGGGTCCCCGGCGGAGCGCGCGTCGCCGGAAGAGCCCGCGTCCCTGGAAGAGCGCAGATACCCCGAGGAGCCCGCGTCCCCGGAAGAGTCCGTGTCCCTGGAGGAGCCCGCGTCCCCCGAGGAGCGCGCGTCCCCGGAAGACCCCGCGCCCCCCGAGGAGCCCGGGGACCCCGCGCCTCTGCCTCCCGGCGTCGGGCCCGAGCACGGGGAGCCCGACCTGGTCATCGAGGTGTCGGGCCGCCGGCTGCGGGCGCACAAGGCGGTGCTGGCGGCGCGCAGCGACTACTTCCGCGCGCGCGCGTCGCGGGACGTGCTGCGGGTGCAGGGCGTGGGTTGGGCGGCGCTGCGGCTGCTGCTGGCCTACGCGTACAGCGGGCGCATGGCGGGCGTGCGGCCCGAAAACGTGGCCGAGGTGGTGGCCGGCGCGCGCCGCCTGCAGCTGCCCTGCGCCGCGCAGCGCGCCACCGACGCCGTGGCGCCGCAGCTGAGCCTGGCCAACTGCTACGAGGTGCTGAGCGCGGCCAAGCGGCAGCGGCTGGCCGAGCTGCGCGACGCCGCCTACCGCTTCATGAGTGACCACTACCTGGAGGTGCTGCGCGAGCCCGCCGTCTTCGGGCGCCTGTCGGGCGCCGAGCGCGACCTGCTGCTGCGCCGCCGCCTGCGCGCCGGCCGCGCCCGCCTGCTGGCCGCCGCCCTGGGGCCGGCCGGGGAGCGCGCGGGCAGCCGGCCGCAGAGCCCGTCGGGGGAGGCGGAGGCCCGCGGCGAGGCCGCCGTCTACTGCCTCCACGAGGCGGCCGGCGAGTGGCGCGAGCTGACGCGGCTGCCCGAGGGCGCACCGGCACGGGGCTGCGGCCTGTGTGTCCTCTACAACTACCTCTTCGTGGCCGGAGGCGTGGGGCCCCCGGGGCCCGACGGCCGCGCGCGCCCATCCGACCAGGTCTTCTGCTACAACCCGGCCACCGACCGCTGGAGCACCGTGCGGCCGCTGCGCCAGGCGCGCTCGCAGCTGCAGCTGCTGGCCCTGGACGGCCACCTGTACGCCGTGGGCGGCGAGTGCCTGCTCAGCGTGGAGCGCTATGACCCGCGCGCCGACCGCTGGGCCGCCGTGGCCCCGCTGCCCCGGGGCGCCTTCGCCGTGGCGCACGAGGCCACCACCTGCAACGGCGAGATCTACGTGTCCGGGGGCTCGCTCTTCTACCGCCTGCTCAAGTACGACCCGCGGCGCGACGAGTGGCAGGAGTGCCCGTGCAGCAGCAGCCGCGAGCGCTCGGCCGACATGGTGGCCCTGGACGGCTTCATCTACCGCTTCGACCTCTGCGGGGCCCGCGGCGACGCGCAGGCGGCGGCCGGGCCCGGAGGGGTCAGCGTGCTCCGCTACCACTGCCTGGCCAAGCAGTGGAGCCGCTGCGCCTCGCACCTGCGGCCCCCGGGCGCGCCGTCCGGCCTGCAGCCCTTCCGCTGCGCCGCCCTGGACGGCACCATCTACTGCGTGGGCCGCGCCGGCACCTGGCGCTTCGTGCCCCCGCAGGACGGCGAGCCCGGCGCGGACGCGGGCGCCGGCGGCAGCTTCGAGCCCGAGTCCCTGCGAGCCCCTTGGGACGCCCGGGGCGTGCTCTTCCCTTTCGTCCTCAACTTGCCGGAGAAGCCGGACAGAGGCGAGGAGGGTGCCGCGTAGGGCGGGCCCAGGCCACCTGGGCGTCTCCTTGGGCAGCCCTGGGACGAGGAGCTTCCCTTGGGCTGAGGTCCCAGCTGGGAAGGGGCGAAGGGAGCGGAGGAAGGGAGGGGAGGTGGGCGAGTGGGCCGCTGGCCGCGAGGATGGGTTAAACGCTTTGAAGGTAGAAGCCTGTCTTGGGGCCTTGAAGACTTTCTGCCATGCTGTGCTAAGGTCGGCTTCCCTATTCTGCATTCCTTTCTGCTTCGCTTTGCTTAATGGGGTCGGTGGCGTGAGATGTAGGATGTGCTCAAATAGATAACTTTACAGATAAGACACAGGATATCTGAGGGAGAAGGCGATGGAATCAAAAGATTAAGCTTCAAGGAACAGTGGGTGGGGCCCGGAGTGAACCGCGGTGCGCCCAGGATGTATTGAGGGTGTACCCAGGGTTTACCTGGGCGTGCTCAGGTGTACCTGGCGTGCACGAACGCCGGGAGTGGAGTGGAGAGGAGCCCAGACTTGAACTCTGGCAGCTTGCTGCGTGATGAGAAGGCCCGGGGACAGCTCGGGCCACCAAGCCAGAGTGGGGACCCTAAAGTAGGCCGATGTGAACTCTACTGGTGGGACCACTGAAAGAAGGCCACACTTTTTTGGCTTGAAGTTTAGAATTATAACTAACAAGTGAAGCTCTTAAAACCTTTCTAACTTAGTTTGAAAGTTCACGCCACCACGTGTTCAGGGTTTGGTTGGCTCAACTCCAAACTCAATAAGCATTAAAGACAAAATCTTTGATTACCAATATGATCTCCCGTCCAGTAGCGTGGGAGGTATTTCCTCTGTGGTGCCATAGATACCATGAATGGGGGAGCGCACACCCCCCAGCCCCCTCTGGAGCAGTTCCATCTCACTGTGTAACTGAGATGGGTGTTTAACATTTTTCAAGTTAAAGGATGTTAATAATTATATTCAATGATATAGTAATGATTGACTATTTGAATTTTAAGTCTTTGGTGACTAAATGTTTACCAAAGAACATGTCACGAATTGGAAAGCCGACCCGCAAGGGAGCTTGTCTATTGTAAAAGGAACCTTTGATAGCCGCTGTATCTGCTCAGCCATGTCCACATTTTATAATGGGTTGAAAGAGAGTATTATTCTAAAAAAAAAAAAAAGAAGGTTAAAATCACTTTTTCTGACAGTTCTAAAGACAAACATGCAGGCCCATTTTGAACCCATGACTTATGATGTTTTAAATATGTATTATGTAATTCCAGTGAGGAAAATTAATTTTTACAAGCATCATTCTAAGAAAATGTGGCAGAGTGACAATGAGCATATTGACATAAGGGGAAATAACATATATTTATAATGTAGTTTAGCAAGTAAAATACATTTTTCCAATTGTGAATTCCAAAATGCTCTGATAGAATTAACATGAAACTCATGACTTTGACAGGACGCAAGGATTAAAAACAAATTGATTAATCTTTCCTCATTTGTTATAGCATTTTACTTTCCAAACATGTATAGACAGGGTTCACTGTATATTGAGTTTAAGGATAAAATATATGCTCACAAATACAGGCAAACTAATTTGGACTCTGAATCCAATCCATTTTTTGATTATAAGAAGAAAAGTAGACATTGAAAGTTCCTGGAACATAATTAGATGAAATCATACATACGTTACTGTTACTTACTTGTTAACCCAGTGGTAGGAGTTGATATCTGTAGCAATCAGTGGGTAATTGGGAAATAGCTTATGCTTTTTGAAGAGTCTGTGGTTATGAAAGTTATAAGACAAGTATGTTTAGAAATGATCAGCTTGAATCTTATGCATGTGCCAGAGGAATGGCATTCACGGTTTCAGTTGCAGTGTGTTCTGGGGACTTGTGTGCTTGCTCATGAACTGAGGGATATCTTGGCAACTTGGTTAATCATCTTGGGAAAGAAAAACAGACTTCATAGTGCCTGACTTTATTGGCCATTTATTGCAGTAGACTGGGAAATGGTGGTAGAAAAAAACTTACAGCAAAAGGAAACAAATCATGTTCTTTTAAAGAAATGTACATTTCATGTTGTAGTACATCTTTCTCTAGAATTTTATTATTTATGCCAAAACATTTGTATGAAATAGGACCAGACTAATATTTTCATTCCTTACATTTCAAATCCGTGAACTGTTATCACTGTTGACTTACTTGAGGAGTCGTTCCTCTGATGTTTATCGTTTAAAATCCTGAAAGTGGGTTTCCAAAGTAAAATGGTTCCCCTAAGAGAAATATTGATGTCAGGTGTGGACAGCCACACACCAGCAACGCCCAGCTGGAGTTTTTGTATATTATTTTATCATTTAATTTGATAAAAGAATGCCTGTGCCCGACATAGCATCACTTCCTCTGGGAACTGGGTTCCAAGTCCCAGGGATTTGTCAGATGAGGTACACAGGGAACCTCAGGATAAGTGAAAGGATGTAGGCTATTAGAGATCATATTTCTAAGTAGTAAGATCACATAAAAACAAACACCAGGGGACCTGGCATGCCATGAGGACCACTTTATTTTTCTTTTTGGGGCCAGTACCGGGGGCGTTGAGCCAGAAGGGTTTACATCAATTAAACAGAAAAGGCACCTCCTTCACGGCAGTTGGTTTGGAGGAGTGCTGGGGGGGAGGGGAGAGGCAGGCATTGCTGAGACTCGCCCCAAGGTCTGATGTTCTGAGAAGGATCTTTTCGTATTCAATGTGATGTTCTAAGTCTGATACTATTCAGAAAATCAGTTGGTGCAAAATATTCCTGGTCATCGATCAGTCAAGAGTCAAATGAAGCTAATGCATTTATGACATCCATCCATAATTCTTATAAAATTAGGCAACCCACGCACAGTGACATTTCCAAATACTGGAAAGAACCAGTGACATTTTCAGGGGAAACTGGTATGCACAAAAGCTTGATCTTTTGGTTAGTTGACAAACAATGACTTTTGTACTGTCAATCAGGGTTCATTTGGAACCCAAAGGAAGGGGCTTAAGATGTCTTGATTTTCTTTCTGTTTTTATTCCTGGTCTTGGGAACAACCCCCACACTAGCGCGGACTCTTGGCGACTTTGTGGAGCTGGGTTTGGAACTTATTTGATTTCTGAGTGATGGTGGCAACTTTTCCTTTGAGAGAATGTGTCCTGTGGAAATTCTTTTGCTACTTAGTTAAATCTCTTACCTGTAACCATTTTGCTACAAATACTTAAGTAAGAAATGAATCCTCTGCTCCATTTCTGTTAACTTCTGGTGTCACCTTCATAATTCTGGTGGCAGCTGTGTAATCTGTTGGTTTCTTGGGTAACTTCCTGTAGCAGATTTTGAAATGGAATGTGTCCGAGGTCTTTTTGCCTTTTCTTAAAGTCAAGAAAGTTTTAGGACATCATCTGTTGTAACAGCTTTATGGGGCTATGCAAACAAAAGTGCTGTTTTGTGTTCTGTCTTATTTTAGATGCTTTCCTAGTTTATAAAATGTCTTATTTTGGTGTTTAAAAAAATCAGCGTTCTTATTTTCCCCCTTTCCTCTGCAGTATTATTTGTGAAAAGATATGAGAGCTAAAAATGGAGACGTGCACGTGTTTTGGTTGCATCTGAATTTGTCAGAAGCTGCTTTCTCTACACCTTGTCCACCCCTAGGCCGATGCCTGGACCACACCGCTCCTGCTTTCCAGGCAGGAGCTGGCAAAGGCAGGCTCTCTCCATGCTTAGTGAGTCGGTTTGAAATGGATTGAAATAAAAAGCTAGCTGTGTCCTCCTGTGAGGTTAAAGCTCCTCTGAAGCTTTTTAAAGCTGTAAGACAGCCCTGCAGTGTTGCCGTTTCTCTAAGACGAACCTTCCTGTTTCAGGCGCACACCAGGCCGGCCGATGCTGTCTATGCGGTTAATGTATTTATTAATGGTTCAGGTTTTAAGTCCCAGGCACAAATACTGTAAAACCTCATATGTCTGTCCGTTTATGCCAAGATGAAATAAATCGTTGGAATGCCAGTGCTCCTAACCTGTGTTCTCGGAAATGGGCTCACGGGGGCTGGGGAGGTTCCCGCGCTGCGCACGAGGCCGGGGTGGTGACTCTGGAGGGTCCTTACAGCTACAGTGCTGAGGCAGGGCGTCCCTTCCTCCCCCTAAAGACGCATGGATGCCTCTGCCCTCTCCCTCCCACTCTCCCCATCCCCTCGCCAGCAGGTGGTGGTGGCCGGGGCTGCGCTGCCTCCTGGAGAGGCCGGTGCTGTAAGCGTGGACACGGTGCAGCGTAGTTGTGTGGCCGCAGGAGGAGACGGGAACGCGGCTGGGAGGGAGGAAGTTAATTCTACTCACAAGTCCCTGAGGGATCAGTGCACACAGGCAGGCCTCGGGGGGAGCCCGAGTGACGGTCAGGGATGCAGGAGTGGGAGCCAGGGGACAGCCAGGCCCACGCCTTTCCTGGGATTTCTGTGGGAAAGGCAAGGCAGAGCAGGGTGAGCAGCTGGCTTCGGCTGCTGTGAATGGTCCTGGGGGCTTGGCGCTGTCAGGACCCCGGAGTTAGGTGGGGCGGTGTTGGCTGGTGGCTGAGGTTAGATTCGGCATGGGGTGGGGGTCTCTGCTGGGCGTGGGTTGGGTTTTTCTGAGAGATGCGCTCCAAGCCCTTCGCTGTCTCTAAGAGCTCCTTAGCCTTGAGAGCCACAGTCTCTCCTGAGCCAGCAAACTTCTTAAGATGTCAAACATCGTACACCAGAGACACCAAAAATGCGGTTATCACAGCTGTCTGTTCCCCCCCCGTCTCCCCATGGAGAGGGTTTGGAGGGGCTGACGGCACGTCAGGTGACAGCATCAGGGCGCATTCACGGGCTTTCCCGGGGCTCCTTTCCCCTCTTGTGAGCAACACTGCATCCCACTAAAATCCAGAAGTGCGTCCAGTTTGGGCCTGAGGGAGCTAAGGCCCATTTCCTCCTGCTGCCTGCCCCACCCCACAGTTCAGAATAAATTGAGAACTAGGCACCATCATCAGACAGACAGAGACCGAGGTCCCCTCTTGTTACCAGCACAGGCAGGGTAAGACAGGGGGGCTTTAGGGTGATTTGCCAGGTGGGCTCGTGCATGCCACTTGAGTCAGGTCACAAGCGACATCACGCTCTGCAAGCCTCTGCTGAGGAGACCGGGCCTGCAAATCCACATGAGTGGCTGTGTTGTATGTATTTTTATTTTCAGTATATCATGATGTTCTGACATCTTAAAAAACCCTCTGGCTGGGAGAGACTGCCCTTCACAGCTGGCCGATCCTCAGAGACAGCAGACGGCCCAGCCTGCGACATGCCCACTGACAACCCAGAGCCGGCCCCTCCATCTCCCTTGTACCCAGGAGGCAAGATTCCTCTGCCTTCATCATCCAGGGCCAGGTGCCAGGCAGCCAGGACCACCCCAATCACCCAGACCCCAAGGAAATTATTCAAGCCGGCCAGTCTGAGTGCTCCCCAGCCCGGCCTGCCTTCCCGTGGGAACCCCGGGAAAGGCCATAGCCTAGGCACTCCCCAACTCCTGTCTTCTGCCTCCTGAACAAACTGGGGTGTCCCCCCAACCCCCGCTCCTGGCCCTGCTTGGTGAGCTGTGCCTCTCGTTTCTAGGGGAACTGTGAGCAACATGGAACTTCTCTTTCAGTGGCATTGATTTCTCGGTCACCTTTGTAAATCAGGACCCGGCACAGAACAGTGGGCGTGAAGAATGCCTGCTCCTCACAGGGGCAGATCCCAAAGAGAGAACCAGAGCGTGCAGGAAAGGGGCTCCTCCCACAGCACGGCTCAGTTACTCACCCCTCCTCCCCTGGGGCGAAGGCACAGGGAGGCTGCAGAGGGAGACCAGGAATACGACCCTCAGACATCTCCTCTTCGCAGAACCAGAGGAGTGGAGACCGCGCATCTGTGCTTTGGGGCGGCAGCGGACTCTGCTTCTGTGTGAACCCGGGAGGTGCCTGCACTTCAGCGCCTATCCGGGCAGAGGGAGGAGCTCCTCCAGAGCCTGTCCGCTGTGCGCTCTGTGTTTACGTTCGGGGTTGGAGTTGCATGAGTGTGTTAAACACAGGTCACTGCAGACAAGGTTTCCAGTGGTCCTCATTCTGATCCACTGCCTCGTGTGGACTCTCCAGTGGCGGCTGCTTTCTGGGAGAGACCTGCGTGGGTCTGAGATGCAGCAGGGCAGCGAGGGATGGGTTAGGGCCCCAGCACCAGTGCCCCAGCAGTTCACAGCACCCGGATCCTTTCCAGACTGAGGAGGTCTCATGCACACGATGGAGAGATGGCCTGAAACCCTGGAGAGAAACGGTTCTGGGACGATGTGCAAGGTGTGGCCCTGATGGGTGAGAAGGCAGATGGCAATCTTGACTGGATGTGCCTTTGGGTCTGGACCACTGCTGACACGGTGAGGAGAGGGCGTGTTCTCGTGGGCATCTCATTCTTCATCAGCTGGAAACC